AATGTATCTTTTACGTTTCCATTCTTACGATCATTGATCAATGTTTCGCTAACATTTTTTCATTAAATGCCCTTACCTGATGTCCTGATATCCTGAAATCCAGTGTAGTATTAATAGAAAGAAAGAAAACGAAAATAAAACAAAAAGACAACAAAAATTTATACTTATCTTGAAAAATTTTCGTGTCTAAGTCTCTTTGCATACGTTTTTTTTACGCATACCCAATTTCAAGACTTGTTGCCCATCATTCTTTATCATATCGTCTAAATAAATAATGAAATTAGTAAAGAATTAAAGAAGTAAAATAAAATAAAATCAAATAAAACAAAGAAACGGTTTTATACTTATCTTGTATTTGAAAGTTCTATATTCTATATTTCAGGAAACCCAGTCTTGCTTAAATCTGAATTCTAGTGTTAAAGAATCTGAAAGAAAGAGAGTAATTAATATAATGCTCAAAAGTAATAAAAAAAAAAAAATCTGCTTATCTAAAAGTCCATCATCTTGAGAACCAACAATTCAAATTATATATCTGGAAGATTTATATTCTGTTCTCCAAGAAGACCCAGATTTTCAAGTTATAGTTCTGGTATAATGAATCTAAAAGAAGAAGAAGAATTAGTAACCTGCCCAAGACTAAATAAAAAAAAAAATAAAAATAAAAATAAAAATAAAACCTATACTTATCTTATAACTATCTGGCTATACAAATCCAAGTTTCAATGCAAGATCGAAAGCATATATCCTAGAAAAACCTTTCGATAAATACAATAGTTGATGATAAAAATTGGTTTTACTCTGAAGGCATAATTCACAGAGATTGAAAAAGCATTGTAGCTTTCAGGTCTTACCTTGTGATGCTCTGCTACCTCTGAAGTTTTGCAAAAAAAACTATTTACACAAATGGCTAAATAGAATATCCTTTGCTGACTAGCGATGTATTAGTTTACAATCCACAAAGAAGACCTATTTTCTAAAATATTAAGGCCTTAATTTATGTAATTAAGAGAATTGGTAATATTCATAAAAAAAAAAAAAAAAAAAAAAAAGAGTACTTCCCTGACTCTTCAAGATCTAAACCTGAAAAAAATGCCTTGACAAAATTTCTGATAGCACGAAAAATCCAAGAAAAGGAGGACGTCTAAAGCGGAGTAGATTTTTATAATATATATTTTATTGAATTAACTTTAGAAGAAAAAAAAGAAACAAAAATACTTATCTGACTAGAAAGGATGAAAAACTCTAAACAGGCCAAGAGAAGTGAAGCTAGTGTAAAAATTGAAAGATCAGAAAAATTCAAATTCGTAGAAGATCAAACAATAACTATATTTAGTACCGATTACGTTGATAACATCACGAGAACAAGATGAAGAGAAGAAGTATACATATATATCTGACCTCTGTACCAGCCCAGAATAAATCTAAAGCTGATCTGATTCTCGTGAAGCCCCAAAAGAATTCTCGTAAAATGATGCCAGAAAGAAGAAAAGTTCTAGAACAAATAAATAAATAAGTTAATAAAAATGAAATGACGAAAGAAGCACAAAAGATCACAAAACTTATCTGATACACCCGATCCGAATTCTGATATGAGGTCAAGCAATAAAAAAAAAAAAAAAAAAAAAATTTTAATGATTTAGTTTTTTTTTTTTGAGTTTTAGTTTTTTAAATTTTAATGATTTTAGTAATTTAAGTTTAAAGTTTATTGTTTTAATATTAGTGATTTAGTAAAATTTATAGTTTTGAAAATATATAGTTTGAAATTTAGAATTGTCTATAGTTTAAGTTTTAAAGTTTATAGTTAGTTAGCGAATTGTTTAGTTAGTTTAGTAAGTTAGTGAGTATGTACCTGTAAGTCATGTGCAAGGAATTTTAGTTAGAGAGAATTAGTCGTAATTTGAGTATGTAGTTGTAGAGTGTAATGATAAAGCCTGGTTTGGTGAGGAATAAGACCTACACAAAAGAAAAGTTTGGCTATAGGTTAGCCAGAGATAGAGTTTTGGTTATGGGTTATCTAAGATACAAAACCTCTAAGTTTTTGATTACAAGTTATCCAAGGTATAAAACCTCTAAATAGAATTAGCTTATTTTTTTATATAGAATTTTTAGAATAGAGTTATAGAATAGAATTTTTTTTAGTCACTGGTTGACTAGCTCAGAGGACCTCATATCTTAAGAAGGAAGGATATATAATATAGTTATTAGTACAACACGATAATCATGTGATCACGTGATTACGATCATGTGATACTAATGGACCTTCATATAACAACTTCATATTTATTTATTTATTTATTCGTGTATAAAATCATTACTTTATTATCATTATGCATAGATCGTTATGCATAACATTAGGATAGCAATGTTAGGATAGTAATTATTATACAGTGTTGTAATTAGAGAGAGATTGTAAATAGTTTTAGAGATAATAAGCTAATTACTAAATAGTTAAATATTAGTAAAATGTTTTCTTATAAAAATGTTCTGTAAAGACTTGCAAAAAGGTATCATTCACAGCCTCAAAATCTTTAATTTAATAAAGCAAGGCCTCTTCGTCTTGAATTTTCTTCTAACAAAGACCTAAACCCATCCTATAACAAAATATTTCAGTTATAGTATTATTAGAGCAGTGTCATTTATCACCTGATTATTTTTTATCAGAGGCTTACTCCCTCCCCCTCTTAATATAAAAAAAAAATCAGGTTCTTATATATAATTTTAATTTTTTTTACCTCCTCCCCCTCTAAAAAATCATCTGATTTTTGTCATGTTTCTTAAGTAATAGATATTTTAAATTTTTCCAAAACTTTGATCAAAGATATCTTAGCAACCACTTGACCAAAATCGATAAACGTTTTTTTATTTGAATTCTACAGATCTATAGAATTCAAATAAAAAAAAGTTCATCAATTTTGGTCAAGTGGTTGCCGCGATATCTTTGATTAAAGTTTTAAATTTTTATAAATAAAAAAATGATAAAATTGAGGTGATCTTTAGTGTAACTATAGTACGAATAGCAAAAAAGCATGGTGCGAATAGCAATTCTCTATATATATTATATTTATATAAGAGACTTAACCAATTTGACTAGTTTAACCAATTAACCAATTTGACTAGACCAATTTAACTAGCAAATTTTTGTTTGATTATTAATTTATCTAATATTGAATATAATATATATTAATTTATTTTTATTTATTTTTTAATATAAAATAATATAGAATAAATACTTACCAGATATTTATCTATATGGTGCTTTATATATTTATTCTTGTACAGAACTGATTTGGACCAAGAGTTTAGCAATATATTATATATTGCTAATATAAAAACATAGTAATAGTTAGTCAGAATTAGAACAGCAACCATACTGAAAACAAATTTTACAATAATTAAGATCAAAAAAACCTCTTTATTATTTTGCTTAAAAAGAGCATAATAGTAATTATGAACTTGCAAGCTATCTTTTACCAAATTATTTTGATAGCACTAACTGAGCTTTTCAAAAAAATTAGCTTTTTATAACCAAATACCTTTTAAAGTACAAAATAAATATTTGCAATACTGTTTTATGATGGTTCTTAACCTTTTATAAAAGCTAGTAAATTAAATAAATAAATAAAAATTAGTGAAATAATAAGTAAAAAAAACAAACAAAAATAAAACAATTAAACTAACAAAAAGAAATACAAAAGAAACAAAAAAAATGAAAATAATTAAACAGAATAAAACTAATAAAAATACAAATATACATATTTAAGTTATTATATACTTGGTGATACTATTCTCTATAAAATTTATTTGTAAATTATTTTCATTTAGATTTTTTTTATAGTCAAAGCTAGTTTCTTTGGTTTAATATTTTTATTAGATATACTAGAGATCACTAGTTGCTACAGAAAGACCCCAAACATAATATATATATATATATATATATTTTTTTTTTTTTTAAAAAGAGAGATCTATCCTCTATCTCTTTTATTTAATAGTTAAATATACATATAAAGATACATAAAGAAAAAACTATACTATAGGAGATAGAGATAAGAGCTACTTTATTCTTGACTCATTCTTTGCTAGAATGGTCTAGTAGAAACGAAATTTTTTGTTTGACTAAAGAAGACTATATTATTAGAAGACAGCTAGATTGCATATTTTTTGCAGAACAAACGAACTACCATCGCCAAAGCACTGAGCCATCTGTTCTGTTAAAGCAAGAAGATTGTGCACATGTTCGATCACACAACTCACCGAAGCAAACTCATGTCAAGTAGCTATAGAAGTCATCTTATCAACACAAAAACAATCCAACGAGAAAAAAAAACGATATTTAGGCATGTAAGAGCAATAAAATTTATAGCTAAAAAAATATAGGAAAATGATTTATATAAGTGGGAGCCAGTGCTCAAAATTCCATAGTAACTTGCCAACCTACTATTGTTTGATTTTGAGCTGTATATTATTGACTAGAAAAGGATAATAAGGATATCAATTATGCAATAATTCGGCGTATCTTTAAAGGGCGGGTTTACCTAACAATAAGCCATAAATATTCGTACAACATACAACCAAATCATGTCTTGACAATAATTTTTCTGAATTTTTGATGATTGATTTCATTATCCCACCCGTGGTATTTATGCATCACATGAGCATAGTAGTAGAGATGATATTAAGTAATGCGATGCAAAAATGTAAATAGTGAATAGCGATAAGGAAGTAAGACTTCTTAAGTGCACTTTAATAAAGAAAGCACACGTACAGTTTATGATATATTTTTTATTATATTTTTATTATTTTTATTTTTTTACTAAAGTTTATTGTATAACCGTCCTAAACTTTGGAGGCAACTATACATATATCACATGAAGCATAACTACTGGAGCAGATCTTCCGCCTTTAACACTTGTCAGGCACATGCTAAATCTAGAGAAAACGTCAATTATTAATAACTATGTTTTTTGTCTATATATAATAAAACTATCCATATCTATATATCCTCATCTCCGATCAGATACAGTAGAAGGGATCTGTATTTGTTTTGCTTTCGGTTTGGAAAGTTGCTCGCGATGGTTTAAACCTTGAGCATTATTAAGGTCCTGCTCAGAAACTATTGGCCCACAACCTTTTTCAATTTCAGCCTTTTTATAAACTTTAGTAAACTTCCGTAAATGGTGGAAAAATGTATCATGTATGAAATAAATAACACTATAACAGATCCCTTTAGTGACTGAAAAATTGCCATGGAGTAATAAACGTGAGACAAATGCTACGATTTGTCCTGGCTGAAGATGTATGACCATCTGGAGCTGGGGAAACATAACTCTCCCCCTTCGTAATCCCCAGTGCAACTAAGACACATAAACTATTTGCCTCATCATGTTCATCCCAATGATAGTCACTAGTGGTATTAAAATTGATAGCTATCATTAGGAAAACTCCAAAGAGCTTTGGTGCAAATGGACCCCATGACAACCTGCTTAGTTTCACATATAAATCTCCATAATAATCTCGAAGGAACCGGTTGACAGAGTCTGATAATGCCTTGAGACCCTGAAGTAATTTGTTAACGCATTCATAGTGATCAATGTTATACGTACTTGCAGTATTGGAGCTTGTAAAAGGGAGCAAGTTGTTTCTAGTATAAGCCCCAAAATGTTCAATAAAATTGGTCCAAAATTCGTCGCTTTGATGTGAAGGATGCTCCAACGTATGGAAATAATAATTATTTACAGCATTGGTTGCAAGTATGATGGTATTGTAGTCATCAAGTTGATCTAAGTGAACTAATATTCGACCACTTAGATCCATAATGCACTCTGATTTTGTTATATGTTTGAATTGGACCAATTTACTTATTGATTGGAGATTATGATGTGCTGATATGATCAGATGAGTTTTTTCTCTTCGAATATTATGCGCAGTAGCTGTATCGAAAAGATCTTAAAAGTCCCTATCACTTTGGATATAATGACCGTACTGGAGTTTTTTCTACAACAATCTGAGGTGCTGTCGTATGTGCTTTCTTTTTAATAGACCATTCTGCCTCTTTAAGCCTAACCACCAGCCAAAAGCAACCCACAATCGATTATTAGCAGTATTAGGTGATGATCTCTCAATGCCGATATCGGTCTTTCTAATAATGTCAGTATAGACTAGAGAGAGAAAATTTGACAGAATTTCAGGCAACTCAAGAGAGTTACTGTCAGAGGATTTTGCTTCTCTAATTATAGTTTCAACTAGCAATTCTCTGGCCGATATATCATACCGAGTCTTATTTTTTTTGGACAATACCCGATCTGAAGAACAAAGAGGAACACTTGTCTACTCCCTCTCCAAATAATAAATACTATCATTAGTGGATATTTTTCGGGTGGCGGATTAGATTCAGTGTCGAGATGGATCGAAGACGATATCATCGATTACCAAAGGGATGTCAACATCCAGCTCGTGAAGCATCTCAGTTTGTTTCTGATCACGTCTAAGTTTTTTATTTTTACGTGTATAGGCCTGTCTTGAGAATTTGGTTTTAGTGGATTCATCCTGTGATACAATGACCTCTCCCTTTTGTTTATTATTTGATATTTGCATTGTAATTGTTGTCTTAGGCAAAAAAATATTAGGTAAATATTGATGGGTTGAAAAGTAAATAAATTAGATTCTTTATCAAAAGAAACCCTTTTATTAAAAAATTTATACAACAAACTAATAATATGTTTGTTATATTCAGTATTGAAGTCAATTGCATGTTGCCACAATAATTTAACACCATAAAACAATCACACGTCACTTTGTTTTACGTCATAATTAATTAACACGATAATTTCTACGCTAACAATTATATATTTACTATATTCGGCACTACAATTATTAAACGCACCAACAATTGCATATTTTCTATATCTGGGATTAGATCATTAATAACTTGTTGAGCATACTTATACAGGGTATGATGATAATTTTACATGCTATATTAAGCCGGCCCAGATTTACAAATTTAGATAAGTAGTATAAAATTATGCTAGATTTACAATAAATATGCAGAAAATTAATCGTATTTGTGGGACTGGTTTGCAATGACTTTATTAGATAAAACAAGTTTGAGAGATCTATTTCGGGTATTACAAGCATATGATTTAATTTTTCAGCAATAGGAATATACGATACCCACCATTTGAGATCATCCCAGCCGAGATAAACAAATCCAAGATATACAAATCTGAGGTATACAAAGTCAGTTAATTATACAAAATTTTAAATGTAATACCAATTCGAGTTTGGTTATAATGATTTTTTTGAGCGATACGAAATAGAAAATAGTATGAACTCTGGTTGAAGTTTGGTTATTTATTCTCATAATGAATATATAATAAAATATAAATATGGGTTGAACTAGGGTTGAACTCAGGTTGAACTCAGGTTGAAAATAGTAGAATAGACAGATGCACAAACACGTACTCTAATCGAAGAATGAAGAAATAAAAATATAGAGTACCATAGCCACAGAAGAAATCGAAACATATTTTAGAATAGTATTGCAAATAGAATCAACCAGAGCATAATACTAATTTTACTAGTTATCATTATAAAGAAAAATTTTCGAATCTTGTTCGAAGTTATAATGTAAGTTCGTACTATAAAGCATTATTTTTTTATCTGGCTCCTATTAACATAATTAAATTACTTGATTAGATGATGTTTAAATATATGTCAGGTAGTAGTAGAGCACGTAGAAATCGAATGAGTGTGCAATATTTTGATGAGTTTTGTACACATTTTTGGGAGAGGCCTGAAGATGAATTCAATAGAATCTGTACTCTTAATACCTCAAACCGTAGGCAGAATAGAGATGTGGGAAATACAACACCAGCACCACCTATTGAGGAAGTTGAGTATGTATTGAGTATGAGATCTTCTATTAGACGAATAAACCAGTCTCTATCTGTTATTAGTAGAAGGAGTCAAAGACATTCATCATATCCTGCTTCACCCTATGATAACACTAATATAAACAACCGTGGTATGAGAAATTCTAAGCAAAATATTAGCGTTCTCCTGTCTCCAATTGAAACATTATCTCCCCAACTACCACCTTACTCATGGGCCACAGATGAAGCACAAAATAATAATCAGAGCCAAGACAGTTCTAACTACAAAGTAGCTATCTCCGGCAGTAATCTAACACCTGATTTGCTAAATTTATCCTTATCACGAAACGAAAGTAATGCCATTATGCACGATATAGGTAGTCAA